AGAGACCAGAAGTTTGATTCCTGTTGCTGCCCACATGTGCCCCACATGGTTGTGTTGCTCGGGTTAGCCAGTGCTGCCACAGAGTGTGTGATCTCAGGGTGGGCTGGAGGAGGCTGCAAGCACACAAGTGAGTAACAAAACCAGGAAGGGAGAGCCTGGGTGAGTGGTTCTGTGAGCTCAGCAGCTAAGGCAGGTGACTGCAGGTGAGCACTGTGGCCGAGTTCCACAGCCGGGAGAGCGGGTAATGCCGGGGAAGCCAATAGCAACAGCCCCAAGGGGAAGGGGAAGTAGAAATGAATAAACAGATCATGAATTTGGCCTCATTGCCCCTGCTTAACTGGGCAAAGAGGGACCGGAAAGATAGGACAGCGGGAGCTGGAGTGATAGCACAGTGGGTAGAGCGTTTGCCTTGCATGCGGCCGACCCGGGTTCGATTCCCAACATTCCATATAGTCCCCTGAGCACCGCCAGGAGTAACTCCTGAGTGCAGAGCCAGGAGTGATCCTTGTGCATCGCTGGGTGTGACCCAAAAAGCAAAAAAAAAAAAAAAAAAAAACGATAACACAGCGGGTAGGGCACTTGTCTTGCAAGAGGCCAAATCTGAGTTCGATCCCCAGCACCCCATATGGTCCCCTGAGCCCTGTGCCTCACTCCCCCCAAAAAAACTTGATAAGGAAAATAAAGCCAAGGACCACCCCCAACACACACACACACACACACACACACACACACACACACACACACTTTCTCTAACACTCTAGGTTTAGACCCCTGAGTCGAGAGTACCATCAGGATGATGAGGAGTCAGCCCTGGGGGAAATGGAGAGCCAGAAGCAGCCCAGTTCGGACTGGAGGGACAGGGAGCAAGGTCACTGGGACTGCCATTCACCCAGAGCCAGCTTTGCCCAGCAGGCCCCGCCCTGTCCACCCAGCCAGGGGTCAGGCAGAGCTGACAGGAGGTGACTCCAACTAAGGGGACTGTTGAGACACCCTTGGCCCTTCATCGACCAGGAATGGGACGCCAGGAATGATCACACCCGAGGCTGAGCGATACTACAGCTGGGAGGGCGCTTGCTTCTCATGCAGCCAACTCGGTTGGATCCCATTATCCCTTATGGTCCCCTGAGCACCGCCTGGAGTAATTCCTATGTGCAGAACCAGGAGTAGGCTCTGAACATCGCTGGGTGTGGCCCAAAATCAGAAGGAAGGAAGGAATGAAAGAAAGAAAAAAAGAAAGAAAGAAAGAAAGAAAGAAAGAAAGAGAGAGAGAGAAAGGGAAAGGAAGGAAGGAAGGAAGGAAGGAAGGAAGGAAGGAAGGAAGGAAGGAAGGAAGGAAACAGAGAGGGAGAGGGAGGGAGGGAAGGAAAGAAAGTAAGAAAGAAAGAAAGAAAGAAAGAAAGAAAGAAAGAAAGAAAGAAAGAAAGAGAAAGGGAAAGGAAGGAAGGAAGGAAGGAAGGAAGGAAGGAAGGAAGGAAGGAAGGAAGGAAGGAAACAGAGAGGGAGAGGGAGGGAGGGAAGGAAAGAAAGAAAGAAAGAAAGAAAGAAAGAAAGAAAGAAAGAAAGAAAGAGAAAGGGAAAGGAAGGAAGGAAGGAAGGAAGGAAGGAAGGAAGGAAGGAAGGAAGGAAGGAAGGAAGGAGAGAGAATCAAACGGGTTCCTGGCCAGTGATCTCTCCTCCCCACTTCCCAGCTCCTCATGTCCCCCCTGTGCTCCCCAAACTCACTCCTCATGACAGGGGAGTGGCAGTTCCCTCCTGCCATTTAGGGAAGGAGGTGGAGTTGGGAAAGGAAGTTGCCCCAAGATCATGACAAACAGGAACTTCAGGGTCAATGTTGGAGTGGGAGAAAAAAAACTGGGGTTGAGAGGTCAGAAAACTGGGGGGCCACCATTCTCAGATATCCCCCATTCCCTCTTTAAAAAAATTTTAATGAATCACCATGAGGTAGTTACAGACTTACAATTGTTTTTTTTTGCTTTTTTTTGGGGGGGTCACACCCGGCGATGCACAGGGGTTACTCCTGGCTCTGCGCTCAGGAGTTACTCCTGGCGGTGCTCAGGGGACCATATGGGATGCGAGAATCGAACCTGGGTCGGCCGCATGCAAGGCAAATGCCCTACCCGCTATGCTATCTCTCCAGCACCCAAGACTTACAAAATTTTGTGCTTACATTTCAGTCATACAATGATGGAGTACCCATCCCTCCAGCAGTGCCCATTCTCCACCACCAATGTTCCAGTATCCCTCCCGCCAACCCTACCCCATCCCCCCAACCCCTCCTCTCTGTGGTGGCAGGCATATTCCCTTCTTTTTTTTTTTTTTTTCCTTTTTGCTTTTTGGATCATACCTGGCAATGCACAGGGGTTACTCCTGGCTCACTCCTGGAGGTGCTCGGAGGATCATATGCGATGCTGGGAATCAAACCCGGGTCAGCCACATGCAAGCCAAACGTTCTATCCACTGTGCCATCGCTCCAGTCCCAGGCACATTCCCTTTTACTCTCTCTCTCCTTTAGGGTGTTGTGGTCTGCAATGCAGGTATTTAGTGGCCATCATATTCGGTCTATTGTCTACTTTCAGCTTGCATCTCCCATCCTGAGCAGGCCCTCCAAGCATCCTTTACTTGGTGGTCCCTTCTCTATCTGAGCTGCCTTTTCCCCCAGCATGTGAGGCCAGTTTCCAAGCCGTGGAGCAATCCTGCTGGTCCTTATCTCTACTATCCTTGGGTGCTAGTCTCCCATTCTGTTACTTTATGTTCCACAAATGAGTGCAGTCCTTCAATGTCTGTCCCTCTCTTTCTGATTCATTTCATTTAGCATGATACTCTCCATGCTGATCCACTTATAAGCAAATTTCGTGACTTCATCTTCTTGATTAAAGCTCCGAAGAGTCACACTATGATCTCTCTGGCTCTCTGAAGTTGCCAGAAGGCCACTCGGGGAGACTCGGTTTCCAGAAGAATCTGGCCTTTGCCTCACCCTGTCCTGAGGTGCTTGGGGAGTTAAGTGGTTGTGCTGGAGTGGGGTTACTGGTGACGGTCCCTGAAGGGAAGGGAGGCTCAGGAGGGGGGGGGATAGTACAGCAGTTCCAACGCATGCCGAGCCAGCATCCAATCTGGGTTCGATTCCCAGCACCAGTGCTCCCAGCATTACTGCCTGAGGTGCTCCTGGAGGCCCCCAGTACTTCCTGGGGAGTTGGGGTATCCCCATCACCACGGGTCCAAGCAGCACCCCATCCTCAGGCGCTTGCATTGATCTAACGACCCAGTTGCCCAAGAATCACCAGTAGGAACCTTGGGACTCCTAAGCACTGTTTGGGAGGCCCCCCCCATTAAAAAATAGAAAAATAGAGGCTGGAGAAATAGTACAGCAGGTAGGGTGCTTGCCTTGTACGCAACCAACCAGGGCTCAGTCCTCAGCATCTCATATGGTCCCCTGAGCACCAAGTAGGGATTCCTGAGTACAGAGCCTGGAGGAACCCGAGTCCCCCAGGTATGGCCTTCAAACCAAAAAGAAAGAAACAAATAAGTATAAAGAAAAGGAGGCCCATGGGGCTGGAGTGATAGCACAGCAGGTAGGGTGTTTGCCTTGCATATGGTGGACCCAGGTTCGATTCCCAGCATCCCATATGGTCCCCCGAACACCACCAGGGGTAATTTCTGAGTGCAGAACCAGGAGTAACCACTGTGCATCACTGGGTGTGACCCAAAAAAAGCAAATAAAAAGAAAGAAAAGAAAAGAAAAAGAGGCCCAGACATTGGAAGTCCGGGGTCATCCAAAGCATAATGGAGGGGCTGGAGCGATAGTACAGTGGGTAGGGCATTTGCCTTGCACGTGAACGACCCAGGTTCGATCCCCAGCATCCCATAGGGTCCCCTGAGCACTTCCAGAAGTAACTTCTGAGGGAAAGAGTGCTCCCCAACCCCCACTGTTTGCTCCTTATCCTCTTGCAGCGAGGGCCCAGCCATGCTCAGAGCAGAGCCAGAGTTGTCTGTCCTCCAACCCCTGAGTGGTCATTTCCACAATGAAACCAAGCAGTCCGGGTGTCGAACCCTGCTCCCACCCCGGGGTCCCCTGGGAGCCTGGCACCCACACCCCTCTTCCTTCCTGCAGGCCCCATTCAACTCACCAGACATTTCATTTTGCCTCAACATTTATTGAGCACTTGCAACTTGCTCCATGAAGGCCCGGACTAGACCCAGCAGCTACAGACATGCACAGGACTCAGCATCAGGTCAGACTCCTAGTGGGGAGGCAGCCGTGGGGAACAAGCCAACAGAGTGTCATGGCAGAGGGGAGTGACGGATTCTGGGGCCAACAAGGCTGGCAGGAGGCTTCCTGGAGGCGGCAGTGTCTGAGCTGGGTTCTAAGGGATGCAGAGGAGTTTGCCGGCAGCGGGAGGAGAGACTTGTCAGCTATCGACAGAGCTTGAGTTGACAGAGTTATGAAGGACACGGGGCATGACTGTGGGTCCTGGAAGCGGGAAGAATCTTGGGGCTGGCCAGGGTGGATGCCCCTTTCTGTATCTGTGCTTCTGCTCTGGGCTTTGTCCTGGTAAGTCAGGGATGGGGGATCTGTCCACGAACTAATGAAGAGAGCTATAGGGCGGGCTTCACCCAAGTCCAGTCTGTGCAGCAGAGCAGTGAGGCCGGCCCGAGGGGGGCTGACCACGGACCTCCTTGGTGGGGGTCCCAGGCACTCCCTTCTTTGTATTTATGGTCACAACCACACACCCTGGCCCATTTCTTAGGCAAGTTCCTTGTCAGAGCCCCAGGTGGGACTTGGCTGATCCGTGAGAGAAGACTTGTCTGTGACGGTGAGGATGCCAGAATGTTCTAGAAGCAGGCAGAGGAGTCAGGGCAGAAGTTCGGGGCCACTTTCTTCAAGTCCAGTTTGGGACAATTTCCCCAGACCACCCTAACCCTCTCCCCACTGGCCCCCACTGAGCCCGGACACTGCCTGGCGTGATCCGCTGGCCTTGGGTGGTGGACACTGACCTTCCCCCTCAGAGACACAGGGGGTCACGAGCAGAGGTCCCCAAGGCACCCGGGGCAGTGGGGCTGGGGCCCAGGCTGGAGTAGGCAGGTGGCGGGGCCGCAAGGGTAGCAGGCGTGGACGCGGAGAGGCCGGGGGGCAGCGTGGAGCCTGGGGTGGAGGCCGGGGTGGAGGCCACCTCCCGGGCCCCTCCACGGCCCCCGCGGCCTGGGGACCAGTAGCGGCTGCGGAACCTCCGGAGCAGCATGAGGGCCGTGATGACCAGGAGGTCGAAGATGAGCTCGGCCATCTCCACCACGGACAGCACCGACGAGCCGAACCACAGGCTCCACTGGCTGCCCAGGTTGGACAGGAGGGTGACCATCTGCGAGGGGCGGGGTCACAGTGACCGGGCGGCAGAGGGCCCCCTCGCTCCCCTTCCTGCCGCCCCCAACTCTCCCTGCTAAGACACCTCCATGCCCTAGAGACATCTTCCCCCCCACCCCTCACCCCTGCATCCTCTGCCTTTCAAGCCCACCCCTCCCCCGCTTTCCCTGCTAGAACACCCCTATCCCCCCCCCCCGCAGACATCCTTCCCTCTCCCCCTCACCCCTCCATCCTATGCCTTTCAAGCCCACCCCTCCCCCGCTTTCCCTGCTAGAACACCCCTATCCCCCCCCAGACATCCTTCCCTCTCCCCCCTCACCCCTGCATCCTCTGCCTCCCAGGCCCCATGACCCTTCCTGATAAGACATCCCCATGCCCTAGAGACATCCTTTCTCCTCACCCCTCACCCCTGCATCCTCTGCCTTTCAAGCCCACCCCTCCACGTTCCCAGCTAAGACACCCTCATTTCCCCAGATATCCTTACACCCCTCCCCCACGCATCCTCTGCTCCCCCCTCCCCCCATAAAACACTCCCATCCCCCAGAGACATCCTTCCCACCCTCACCCTCACCCCTGCATCCTCTGCCTTCCAGCCCCCTGACTTTCCCTGCTAAGACACCCCCAAGCCCTAGAGACATCCTTCCCCCTCCCCCTACCCCCTGCATCCTCTGCCTTTCAAGTCCACCCCTCCACTTTCCCAGCTAAGACATCCCCCAAAGAATGAGCGGCTCGGAGCTAGGCAGTACCGTGACGGACGGAGACTCGGAATTGGTTTTGTAGTTCAGCTCCTTGAAGAAGATGTTGAGTTTGGCCACTCCATCTCTATGGAGAAAGGAGGGGTGGGTGGGGAGGAAGGGCGGAGGTCTCGCTTCTCAGACCCTCACAAAATTCCTTTGCCACCAATCCCATCCATCCCCCCACCCCCTCCCAGAGGTGCCTTTCCCAGAGTTGATGGGGAAGGGCGCAAGTGCTGACCTCTTGTTGGTGATGGTGTAATTGTTCTGCTGGGACAACATCTGGAAGACCCAGTCCTGGGGAAGAAGGGGGGAGTCGAGTCAGTGGAGTCACCCACACACACCACTGAGGCACGGGGAGGGGAGGCAATGTTGTCAGAAGTGCCTATGCACAGTGACCCAGAGATGACCAGCCATGACGTTTCATACACACACACACACACACACACACGTACACACACACACACACGTGCACATACACACACACATGCACAAAGGCCAACACCCATCACCCCCTCTCAGTCCCCTGCCTTACCTGGGATGACACTGATGGCCATCGGGAGTAACCGGCTGAGAGCTGGTAGCTGGTCACACTGGGGATAGAGGAAGGGGCTCAGCTGGGTGGCCCTGGGTTCCCCCTAGCCAGCTGCCCCTGTCCCCCGTGTTCTGGGGACCACCCACCTGCACGGCTTCCTGCACTTGGAGAAGCAGCCCAGGCGGTCGGAGGAGAAGGCATCCTGGAGCTTATAGTAGCAGTAGCCTGTAGGGCCCAGAGGGTACCGTTTGCCCAGAGACCACCACCTTCTACTCCCCATGCCCCGGAGGTCTCCCCGGACCCCTGGATGGCCACTTTCTTTTTTTTTCTCTCTCTCTTTTTGTAGGAGTACTGCTATTTATTCAGCCACTGATTAGCTGATTGAATTGTGCATGAACTCCACCTTACTTTTTTTTCTTTTTCCATTTTTTATAATTTTATTTATTGAATCACCGTGAGAGCAGTTACAAAGCTTTTGGGTCTAAGTCTCGGTCATACGATGAAACACCCGTACCTTCACCAGTGCCCATTCTCTACCACCAAAAATCCCAGTACACCCCCATCCCACACCCTCCCCCTACCTGTGGGGCAGATGATTTCCACATTACTCTCTCTCTACTTTGATCACATTCAATATTTTGACACCAGGCCCACCATTATTATTTGAGATTTACCCCAACACTCAGATCTGCTGAAAAGGCAACAATAGACCATCTGTGTTCTATTGCTGGTTATATGATGTCGCGTGGCTGCAGTAGGGCCATGTGGTTTTGAAATTCTGAAATTTTAACACTTAAATCTGGAAGGATTTCTGCCAAAAGCCACTGGGTTTCGAGATCTGCTCCTGAGTCTCTGGGATCATGGCCGTTGAGCAGCTTGATGAGGAGCCAAAGAGGCCATTCGCGGGCGATGACTTGGGGTCTCACTGGGGTGGGGAAGACAGGCCCGGCTCCACCTCCCCCCCATCCCGTGAGACCCAACAAGTTTCGTCACTGCGGGCCCAAGCCTGACTGTCCAATGGCCTCTGGAGGATGACAGCCACCAAGTCACCAAGAGGGAGCAGGCGGAGGGACAGCACCCATTCCCCCCTGGGGTGGCCCGGTGACAGTAACCTACTGCGGGGTCCGGACACATTTCTGACAAAAGCCGCTGGGTTTCGAGATTTGTTTCTGAGTCTCTGGGATCAAGTGGACGGCCACTTTCAAAGAGACTTGGGGAGCCCCAAGTGGCAGCCCCCCCAAAGATGCTGAAGACGTTAAAATTAAGTTGGGGCCTGAGACATAGCGCAGGAGGGGGAAGCCACTTCCTGGCACGTGACTGACCCTGCTTCAATTGCTGCTATGGCCTAGGGTCCCCTGAGCACCGCCAGGAGTGACCCCTGAGCACAGAGCCTGGAGGAAGCCCCGAGCACTGCCAGTGTGGCCCCAACCGAGGCAAAGAAGGCGGTGAGCCACGAGCATCCTTGCGTGATTCTTTCTACGTGCCCTGTACAAGTGTACCAAGACAGGGAGAGAGCTGGGCTTGCAGGGGTGCAGTGGGCAGGGCAGAGAGGGGCCGTGTGAGAAGGTGATCGGGCCTGGAGCGTAGCAGAGGGGGCAAAGGTTCTTGGTGATGAAAATGTTCTAAAAGTGATGGCGGTAACTGTTGCACAACCGGATGGCCAAATGACAGCCCAAACAAACGATGGCGACACTTGGACTGAGGGGGGGAGGGGCCCGGAACTTCACGGAGAATGAAGTTCTTCAAAAGGAGCAGCCGGAGGGATGGGACAGTGGGGAAGGCTCTCGCCTTGCCTGTGGCTGACTCAGGTTCTATCCCCGGCATGTCACAGGGTCCCCCAAAAACACCATCAATAATGATTCCTGAGTGCAGAGCCAGGAGTAAGCCCTGAGCGTCACTGGGGGGGGGGGTGCCCAAAACAAAAGCCAAAGGAGGATCCAAAGAAGGATCTTACGGGTCCCCTCCTCGCCTATGGCCCAGGTTCTCAACAAGTCTATCAGGTTGTTCTTACAACTTTTAGTCACGTGTTCTTGAAGTCATTCTTGCCCGCCCCTCCTCTCCCCTACTGAACCCTCCCTTCCTCTCCCCTCCCCATATTCTCTCCTCTCCCATCCTACCCTCTCCTCCTTCTTCTCTCCCCTCTGTTCTTCTCCCTCCTCTCTTCCCTCTTCTCCTCTCCCCTCCCCCTCTCATCTTTTCTCTCCCCTCCCCCCTTCCCTCCCCTCCCCTCCTCTCTCTTCCTCTCCCCTCACCTCCACTCCCCTCACCGCCCCTTCCCTCCTGTCCCTCCTCTCTTCCTTTCCCGTCCTCTCCTCTCCCCTCCTTTCCTTTCCTCTCCTTTTCCTTTCTCTCCCTTTTTCCCCCTCTTCCTTTCTTCCTCCCTCCCTCCCTCCCCTCCTCCCTTCCTCCCTCCCCTCCTCCCTCTCTCCCCGCTTCCTTCCCTCCCTCCCTCCCCTCCTCTCTCCCTTCCTCCCTCCCTCCCTCTCTCCCTCCTCCCTCCCTCCCTCCCTCCCTCCCTTCCTCCCTCCCGTCCTCCTTCCTTCCTCCTCCCTTTTCTCTTTCCTTCCTTCCCATCTTGAGGCCAGACCCCGCAGTGCTCAGGGGCTACTCTGCATCAAACCTTGAAGTGCACTCCCCACAGTGCTGGGGAGACCATAGGGTGCGGGGGTGGGGGGGGGGGAGGGAGGTTAAAAGGCACCACAGGCCCTCCTGCCTGTGAAGCCTGTGCTCCCCCTGTGAGATATCTCCCCACGCCAGGAAAGCCTTTACTTCTGCCCCACATCCTCCCTCTTGAGGGCTGGAAGAATGGGAGGAAGTTGCTGGCCGCCCCCTCCCCCCCCCCACCCCCCCCACCCCACACACACTCCTTTTCTTCTCAGGGCAGCAAGCGATTCTCAGAAAGCACCAGGCTGGGTTCACAGTCAAGTTCCTCTCCCTGCCTGGACAGCTCTGTCACAGACTTCTAACAGCTTCGAAATCACGGGGCACAGGGGCCGTGCGCAGGGAAGCAAGTCTTCTGGGCTTCGGTCTGCAGCTCCAAGAAGGGGTGAAGCGGGGAGGGATGATGGAGACCTGACTCCCTCCAGCTCTGTAATGCTCCAGGACAGAGCAGGGCGGGCTGGAAGGAAGGAAGGAAGGAAGGAAGGAAGGAAGGAAGGAAGGAAGGAAGGAAGGAGAAAGGAAGGGGTGGGGAAGGAAAAGGAGAGGAAAGGAGGGGAGGGGAGAGGAGAGGAGAGGAGAGGAAAGGAAGAGAGGAGGGGAGAGGAGGGAAGGGAAGGTGAGGGAAGAGGAGGGGAGGGGAGAGGAAGAGAAAGAAGGGATGGGGAGAGGAGGGGAGGGGAGGGGAGGGGAGAGGGAAAGGAAGGGAGGGGAGAGGAGAAAAAAGGAGAGTGGGGAGGAGGCAGGGAAGGGGGCAAGGGCAGTGCCAAGTCAGGGCCGACACCACACTCTGGGCTCTGCAGCACCCTACAGTGCTCAGGATCCCTGGGGGGATCGAGGGGGTCTCCCGCCACCGAGGTTGGCGCCCAGCTCTGGGAAAGGACTCGGAGGAGCCCACCCCCCCCCACTGTCTACAGCTTGTTCGGGATCTTCCTCCTCTCTCAGCTTCCCAAGAGAAAGTTTCACAGCCGTAGAAGTCAGCTGTGAGGAGAGGAACCCAGGGTTTTTGGACAGGACCACACCCAGCAGTGCTCAAGGCTTATTCCTGGCTCTGTGCTCAGGGATCACTCCTGGCCGGGCTCAGGGACCCTGTGGGGTGCCGGGGATCAAACCGGGTCAGCCATGTGCTAGGCAAGTGCCCTCCCTGCTGTGCTATTGCTCTGGCCCCGGAACTCAGATTTTGTCTACATTAAGGAGGAGAAGAGTCTGATGCTGTCTCAACTTCTCTCTCTCTCTCTCTCTCTCTCTCTCTCTCTCTCTCTCTCTCTCTCTCTCTTTCTCTCTCTCGCTTTTTGGGTCACACTCATGCACTCAGGAATTACTCCTGGAGGTGCCTGGGGGACCATATGGGATGCTGGGAATCGAACCTGGGTCAGCTGCGTGCAAGGTAAATGCCCTACCCGCTGTGCTACCGCCCCTTGACTTCTTCTCTTTTTAAAGGGAGACTCCCTAAGACAAAAACGAAGGAAAAAGGGAAAAGCAGAATAAGTAAATAAGGGCTACTCCCTGCAGTGCTCAGGGTCCAAGCAATGCCAGGGCAGGCATACAGCCTTCACACGTCAAGGCTCAAGCCATACCCCGAGACCTCAACTGTTTTGCTGTTATGTGTGGGTGGGGGTGGGGCAGGAGGAGTTGTTTCTTGGTTTGGGGCCACATCTGGCTGTGCTCAGCGGCCATCTCCAGCTCAGTGTACAAGGACTGCTCCTGGCAGTGCTCAGGGGACCATGTGATGCCGAGTTCAAACCCGGGCCTCCTGCATGAAGTCCAGGTGCTCCAACCTTGTGAGCTGTCTCCCGGATCCCCTCAATTGTTTTCAACTATTCCATTCCCTTGATTTTTTTTTTCTTCTTGGGTCACATCCGGCAATGCTTAGGGGTTACTCCTGATTTATGCACTCAGGAATTGCTCCTGGTGGTGCTCAGGGGACCCTATGGGATGCTGGGAATCGAACCTGGGTCAGGCAAACGCCCTCCCCGCTGTGCTATCGCTCCAGCCCTCCCATGATTTGATTTGATTTGATTTGATTTTTTTAAGGGAAAGGAGGGGCTGGAGAGATAGCACTGCGGGGAGGGCGTTTTCCTTGCACACGGCCGACCCGGGTTCGATTCCCAGCATCCCATATGGTCCCCTGAGCACCGCCAGGAGTGACTCCTGAGTGTAGAGCCAGGAGTAACCCCTGTGCATCGCCAGGTGTGACCCAAAAAGAAAAAAAAAAGGGAAAGGAAAAGAAAGCCTTAGATAAGTAACTTCATTCTATGCCTCTGATTTATAGAAGCTGCATATCCGCTCCTCGTGAATTGAACGGATATGTATGTTGCAAGACACAGAAAATGAAAGCTGTTTGGTTGGGAGAAGTGAACAAGAAGGACTTGGGGGGAGGGGCAGAAGGGATCCCATAGCACACAGGCAACTCGGGTTCAATCGCCAGCATCCACCAGAAGTAGTTCCTGAGTGCAGAACCAGGAGTGACCCCTGAGCATCACCAGGTGTCGCCCCCCCCAAAAAAAAACAAAGAAAGTATTTGGGGTTCAGGGCTGCAGTTCAGCAGCGGAACACAAGTTTTGCACACTTCACAAGCTCTGACACCATGAAAAACAAACAAGCTTCTAGCATTTTCTTTTTTTTTTTTTTTTTTTTTTTTTGCTTTTTGGGTCACACCCCGCTATGCTCAGGGGTTACTCCTGGTTCTGCATTCAGGAATCACTCCTGGCGGTGCTCGGGGGGACCATATGGGATGCTGGGAATCGAACCCGGGTTGGCCGCGTGCAAGGCAAACGCCCTACCCGCTGTGCTATCTCTCCAGCCCCGCTTCTAGCATTTTCCATCTGTCTCCACCCCACCTGTTGCGTGGTCAGCACCTGAGGAGCAAACCAGGAAGCTCAAGACAGATTTGCCCATCTGGATTGATTCCTGGCATCCCATCAAGTCCCCAGGGAAACCCCAGGAGTGATCCCTGAGCTCAGAGTCGGGAGTACACCCTGAGCTGCGCCGGGTGTGGCCCAAAACACAACCAACGGAATCAAAACATCCAGTCGCCGGAAGAGAGAGAGAGCGAGAGTCCAACGGGGGCAAAGACCAGAGCAGGGTGATCAGAGGCAGGGCGAGGAGGAGGTCAGACCGGAAGAAGGCAGAAAGTGGGGGACAGGGAAAGAGAGCAAGACCTGAGCTTGGGAACGGGGTGGGGGGGTTGGAGGGAAAGCCGGTGGGTGCCCTCGAAGCCTCACCCCAGGAATCGTGCTTGCGGTAGTCACAGAATTCCACACCAGGGCGCCGCGGGTAGAAGAGATAGGCACAACCACACTGGCGGATCATGCTTTCCTGGAAGCAGGAGTGAATACACACCTGCAGGAGAACGGGGCAGGAGGGAAGAGGTGAGAGCTGCCTGGTCCAGCCCCTTCACACCGCCGAGCCCTGTGTCCACCGCGCCCGGCTGGCCTGGAGATGCCCAGCATGGCCTCACCTGCTGGGTGTACTTCAGAGGGTGATACAGGTTCTCCACAGGGACATCACTGCCGTTCTGGGTGCAGTCGCCGTAGTCGCCCCCCAGACGCACCAGAGCTTCCTAGGAACACCCAGACAAGAAGCCAGAGGTCAGAGCCAGTGGCCCAGGCCCCTTCCAGAATAAGTCTCCATCTTCCAGTCCACACAATCTCTCCTTCCCTGCCAGCCACTGCTCTTGACCGCACTGTTTCAAAACATGTCCGCAGCCGGAGTGATGGAAGAGCAGGTAGGGGCGCTTGTCTTGCAGGTGGCCAATGTGGGTTCTACCTCCAGAACTTCCTATGGTCCCCCTGAGCCCTGCCAGGAGTGGTCATTGAGCTCAGGGCCAGAAGGAGGAAGTCCTGATTGGAGGCTGGAGCGATAGCACAGTGGGTAGGGCATTTGCCTTGCACGTGGCCGACAGGGGTTCAATCCCCAGCATCCCATATAGTCCCCTGAACACTGCCAGGAGTGATTCCTGAGTGCAAAGCCAGGAGTAACCCCTGAGCATCACTGGGTGTGACCCAAAAAGCACTGTAGCGCTATCCTCCCATTGTTCATCGATTTGCTTGAGCGGGCACCAGTAACGTCTCCATTGTGAGACTTGTTGTTACTGTTTTTGGCATATCGACTATGCCACGGGGAGCTTGCCAGGCTCTGCCATGCAGGCCGGATACTCTCAGTAACTTGCTGGGCTCTCTAAGAGGGATGAAGGAATCGAACCCAGGTCGGCCATATGCAAGGCAAACGCCCTACCTACCACCTGCTGTGCTATCTCTCCAGCCCAAAAATGAAAAAAAAAAAAAACTGGGTAAGATTGAAAACCAAAAGAATAAAAACATGTTTCCAAGGACCCTGACCCCCAGCATGTCCGCACTCCCCTCTCGGGACTCTTGCCCAAGCTGCACTCCTCAGGTGCCCGCTGCCTAGCATTGGCTGGGCCAGCGCCCACCCCCCCATCCCCCACCCCAGCCAGCCCTGACTGGCCTCTGGGACTCCACACATCCCAGGCCTGGCCAGCGCCCACCCCCCCATCCCCCACCCCAGCCAGCCCTGACTGGCCTCTGGGACTCCACACATCCCAGGCCTGCCCCTTGCCTTCCTCATGCTGATGGAGGTTTCCACGCCAGGCCGCAAGTTAAAGCCGCCGTCGTCCATGAAGGGAGGCTCGTCCTGTCCATGCACCATGACCCTGGCCCCGGTCACCGTGGACAGCAGGGGGATGAAGTCATTCTGCTCGGTGCGAAGTGTCAAGGACAGACCTGGGGATGGCGCAGAGGTGGGGAAAGGGGTGGAGGGGGGATGGATGGAAATCCACACGCCCATCTGGGCTGGTCCCCACAGCTCCAAGGGGGAGCCGCATCAGGAAGACAAACAGCTTGGGTGACCCCAGGACCTGGACCGTGCGAGGAGAACCCCGAGTTGGGCATGCTGCAAAGAATCTGTGGGACCCAGGAGAGACAGAATAAGTGGGGGGCGGCTCCCCCCCATGTTTGAGAGAGACTTGTGGGGAGGTCCAAAGGCAACAGTAAGGGGCTGGAGTGATAGCACAGCGGGGAGGGCGTTTGCCTTGCACGCGGCCGACCCGGGTTCGATTCCCAGCATCCCATATTGTCCCCCGAGCACTGCCAGGAGTAATTCCTGAGTGCATGAGCGCATGAGGCAGGAATAATCCCTGTGCATCGTCAGGTGTGACGCAAAAAAAAGAAAAAATAAAAAGGCAAAGGTAAACTCAAGGCGGGAAGGTGCCCAAAAAAATATGCACACAAGGTCACAGGAAGGCCCCAAGGAGGATGTGGAAGAGGAAGTGGCTCACCATTGTTGATCCCAGGCATGGAAGACATCCAGAGTTTAGAGTTGTTTTTGTCATTGAACGTGTAGCAGTTGCCATACATGGGGTGGTGGAAATGCGAGTAATTCCTTATGAGGAGAGAGAGAGAGCACGTCGGTCAGAGAGAGGCACCTGGGTGGTCAGAGGAGACAGAATTCCAGGACGCTCTGCTCTGGGGCCACCTATGACTCGCCAACATCACGTAAAGGCGCTTCCCCGAACTCCGAGGGCACCGGAACCACAGCACAGAGGTCAAGAGATAGTCCACGGCCACGCCAACAGCCATGAGGACCTTGGAACTCAAGCCTGGGTGGGCTTTCTGAGCCCGGGCTCCTTCCCCACCAGGCCACCAACCTCACTGGCCTTGTGTCTCCCCAATCCCACCCCGATTGCAATGTCATAGCACGAAGATACCCACGTGGTCTTCTCCAGCTTCTTGTGTGTCTAAGTTTCCCCTGCGGACTGTGACCTCCTTTTTTTTTGTCTTGCTTTTTATTTATTTATTTATTTATTTAGGTGGGGGGAGGCATGGTAAGTTGTGCTCAGGGGCTACTCCAGGCTCTGTGCAGAGCGGTGATTCCTGGTGGCGCTTGGGGTTTGCATGAGTTTCATTCCTAGCATCATGAGGACTGAATCCTTGGCAATATGTAAGAGCAACCTCTGAGCATCGCTGGGTGAGACATCCCCCCTCCCAAAAAAAAATACCCAAAAACTTTTTAAAGCCAGCAACAACAAAAAATACCAAGACAATTTAAGAGGAGAGCCAGAGGCGAGATGAGATGAGTGATATCACATTCATGATATACACAGTTTCCATTTGTTTGGGGGCCACATCCGGCCAGTGCTCAGGGGTTATTCCTGGCCCTGCACCCAGAAATCAATCACTTCTGGTGGTGCTCAGGGGACTATATGGGGTGCCGGGGTTTGAACCCAAGTCGGCCATATGCAAGACAGGTGCCCTCCCCACTGCACTATTACTTTGACCCCAATTTTGAAGAAAAAAAAAACCCAAAGAGAGGATTTGGAGCAATAGTATAGCAGGTAGGGTGTTTGCCTTGCACGCGGTCAACCTGGATTGATTCCTAGCATCCCCAGTGGTCCCTGGAGCACTGCCAGGAGTAATTCCTGAGTGCAAAGCCAGGAGTAACTCCTAGACTGGGTGTGACCCAAAAAGCAAAGTGTGACCAAAAAAAAAAAAAAAACTCAAAGAGATGTATGTTAAGCACTGTGGGGCGTGAGGCGGAGTTGTACAATGAGCCCGTTCAGAGCACGTCTCCAGACTTGTGTGCTGTGCATTTGAATCTCAGCTCTAATAAGAGGGACCACCGAGGTACGTTGGAACTCGGGGAGAGGCATGTCAGAGAGATGTGGTTTCTCACCCATTACACAGGAATCATAAAAATATGTCACAACATGTGGTCAGCGCTCAATTAATCTGAAGACAGTGGCGAGATCTTATATAAGTTTACTACAAAAATCATAGGCCCTCGTTAAGATGGCCAAGGTTAAAAGATAATAACAGGGGGCTGGAAAGATAGCACAGCGGGTAGGGTGTTTGCCTTGCACGTGGCCGGCCCGGCCGAGTCGGGTTCGATTCCTCCGCCCCTCTCGGAGAGTCCAGAAAGCTATCGAGAGTATCTCGCCCACACAGCAAGGCCTGGCAAGCTACCCGTGACGTATTCGATATGCCAGACACAGTAACAACAAGTCTCACGATGGAGACGTTACTGGGCCCGCTGGAGCAAATCGATGAACAACGGGAGGACAGTGACAGTGACGAAAATCCAGGCCCTCATTAAGATGGCCAAGGTTAAAAGATAATAACAGGGGGCTAGAGCGATAGCACAGCGGGTAGGGTGTTTGCCTTGCACGTGGCCGGCCCGGCCGAGCCAGGTTCGATTCCTCCGCCCCTCTCGGAGAGTCCAGAAAGCTATCGAGAGTATCTCGCCCACACGGCAAAGCCTGGCAAGCTACCCGTGACGTATTCAATATGCCAAACACAGTAACAATAAGTCTCACAATGGAGACATTACTGGGCCAGCTCCAACAAATCAATGAACAACGGGAGGACAGTGACAGTGACAAAAATCCAGGCCCTCGTTAAGATGGAGCATGGGTCTGGGTCCAAACCTTTTCCCCTGGGCCTGGAGCCATAGTACAGCAGGTAGGGCATTTGCCTTGTGGCTGGCCCGGGTTTGATTCCCAGCATCCCATAGGGTCCCCAAGCACCGCCAGGAGTAATTCCTGAGTGCAGAGCCAGGAGTAATCCCAGAGCATCGCCGGGTGTGACCCAAAAAGAAAAAAAAAATAGATAATAACAGGGGGCTGGAGCGACTGGGTGGCAGGTGTAAGCAGAGACAGGCTTGGGGCCCCCTTCCCAGATGGCAGTTTCTGTCCTCAAACAAACACAGAGAACGGAGATGAGAACGAATGACGTGCTGGCCAGTTTGTGGGTACCCAGCAGGCCCCACCTGGCACAGCTGCTGCAGTGCCACGAGAGGGAAGGGCTCCCTAAAAGGGGACAGGAAGACAGCAAGCTCCTGAAAATGGGAGTCAGGAGGGAAAAGCAGGGGCCAGGGGCAGCAGAGGCCACAGGAGAGGACCCCCCGTCGTCCCCCTTGGACTCCAGTGCTTTGAGAATAGGCTACGGTCGTGCCCTCTTTTGCCAGGCTGTTCATTTTGCAAGTCCCAGAGTGAGGATGCCTGGCGGGCAAGACAGTGGATGGGAAAATCCTTTGCCAGGATTGGTGGGGCTAAAGGCAAGGGCATTCCCGGTCTGGGTCCAAGACCCCATGGCCCGTGCTTCAGGGGCCTGTGCAGGGGGTCTGCTGTGTGATCTCGCGCACCTGGTGCGATTCTTGACATAGGTGTTACCATCTTCTTCATCACTTTAGCAACAACAGTGCCCAAAGGGTAAGGGTTACTTGTTTTTTCCTTTTTGTGCCACTTCGATACTGAGAACTCTGTCTGGCCTAGCCCAGACAGTCTAACACTGCATGAATCGCCTTTTCCGCTCCCTTTTACCAAGAAGTCGGCTCGGAAGAGTGGCACGCGACACCCAGCGTGTCACTGGGTCAGGAAGTAACAGAGTCAGGACAGAAACTCGGTCTCATCCCTTGCTCACTCCAACGCGATTTTCACACACACACACACACACACACACACACACGCACACGCACACACACACACACGCTCACACACACACACGCTCACACACTCACGCTCACACGCTCACACACACATACACACACACACTCACACATGTACTCATGCAATTGCACCACTGCCTTTTCTTGTCTGAGAAAGTGAGGCCAGATGGTTGCTGGGGTTCAGTACTACTCAAAATCACAGAGAAGTTCCCTTCCTACCCTCGGGTTCAAAACCAGACCCAGGGTCCAGAGAGACAGCACAGTGGGTCAGGCGCTTACCTTTGCACGTGGCCAACCCAGGTTGAATCCCCGGCACCCCATATGGTCCCCTGAGCCTTGCCAGAAGCGATCCCTGAGTGCAGAGCCAGGAGTCAGCCCTGAGCACAACTGGGTGTGGCCCCCAAACACAACTAAAGACAAAAATCACAGCCAAATCTCCAATCTGTCTTCTTGGAGGTTGCCAGAGCAACCCAGCTGTGCAGGCAATAGTAGGGGGCCTGGCAGAGGTCTTCGGGCAGAGGTTTTTTTTTTTTTTTTTTTTTTGCTTTCTGGGTCACACCCGGCGATGCACAGGGGTTACTCCTGGCTCTGCACTCAGGAATCACCCCTGGCGGTGCTCAGGGGACTATATGGGATGCTGGGAATCGAACCCGGGTCGGCCGCGTGCAAGGCAAACGCCCTACCCGCTGTGCTATTGCTCCAGTCCCCGGGCAGAGGTTTGGACCCAGACCCATGCTCCATCTCTTCCCCCCTAGGGATTTAATTAATCATCAAGCATTTCTGGAGTGCAGGCCCAGCCAGGAAGAAGTGTCCATATGGGCAGAAACACTCACGCCTGGTTGCAGGATTCCTGGTTGAAGCGGCAGGCGAAGATGAAGTTGCCCAGCGCGTCCTCCTCCAGGGCGGGCGAGGTGTCCGACAGCTGGGACAGAATGTTGATGTAGTGGAAGCGGTACCACTCCCTCACTGCATCCACCCCCGACGAGTACGTCTGGTAGAAGCAGTCGGATTTGTTCTGGTTGCACTGGACACGGAGACCAGAGCGTGGAGAGAGAGAAGAGGCAAGTCAAGGTCAAGGAGTGAGCGACCGGGGTCCGTAGGGGAGGGGAGCGGGACGCAGACAGGAGCAGAAGCCCCTGTGGAGAGAGGATAGAGAGAGCACAGGATGAAGGGCAGGGAGGGAGGCAGCCCCGCAGAGGGTGGAGTCAGGATTCTTGGTCCCTTCACAGATGGGAAAAGAGGGGCCAGAGTCATAGTACAGTGGGTGGGACATTTGCCTTGCATGAAGCAGACTCCGGTTGGATCCCTGGCATCCCGAGCACTGCCAGGAGTGATTCCTGAGTGCAAAGCCAGGAGTAACCCCTGAGCATCTCCAGGTGAGACCAAAGGAAAAAAAAAGCACCGTAGCACTGTTCTCCCATTGTTCATCGATTTGCTCGAGCGGGCCCAGTAACGTCTCCATCATGAGACTTGTTGTTATTGTGTTTGGCATACTGAATACAACACGGGTAGCTTGCCTGGCTTTGCCATGCGGGCGAGATACTCTCGGTAGCTTGCCGGGCTCTCCGAGAGGGTTGAAGGAATCGAACCTGGCTCAGCTGGGCCGGCTGTGTGCAAGGCAAACGTCCTACCACTGTGCTATCGCTCCAAGAAAAAAAAAAACCACAGATGGGAAAAGAGAAGAAAAGAGGGAACAAGATTTATTCCCTCGATAGGGTGGGACTAGAACTCAGTCTCTGGAGAGGTGGCAAGGTAAGTGGAGCTCACACTTGGCACGCAGGAGGCCTTAGTTCCAGCCCTGGTACCACTTGGTCCTTGGAGCACCCAGCTCCAAAACAAAATAAACAGCCTCCCAAAAAAGACTATTCTAGAATTCAGGTCTCCTTAGAGGTGGGAGTTCATGGTACAGAGGATAGGATGGCTGTCTTACACACAGTCAACCTGGGTTTGATCCCCGGGTGGGACCCCAAAACAAAAAGTGTTTAAAAAAACTAAAAAAGAAAAAAAGAATTCAGGACTCCTGAGAGCATGGTTTTCTCTCATGGGGTGGGGGTGAGGGCATCTCTCTTCTGCTTCTTTTCCTTTTTGTTTTCCTCTCACTTTACTTTGTATTAGAAAAGTCTTCCTTCTTTACTGACTCTTATTTTTCTGTCCCTTTTCTTTCCCTTTATTCTTATTCCCTCATTGTAGAGTCACTGGAGGTCTCCACTGCATTACCACCACCACCCCTTACCCCCGACTCTGCCTTTCATCCCCCCAACCCCTGACCCCGTGACTACTAGAATACTCAGAAAGGTGCCTTTTCCTACAGGTGACTTGCTCAAGGCTCTTTCAGCCCTCCCCCAGAGGTCCTCAGCCAAGACACCTCACCGGCTGGCACACCAAAAGATATTTTATCAATACATCTTCCAAAATAAATGTACTGGGGCTGCCCGGAGCAATAGTACAGTGGATAGGGCGTTGACTGTGCAGGCGGTGGGCTGGGGTTTTGTCCCCGGCACCCTGGCACACCGTATGTTCCCTGGAGTGCAGAACCAGGAAGGGGTAAGCCCTGAGCACTGGAAGGGGGGGGTGGCCCCCAAATGAAAAGTAAATAAATGCACTGGTTTGGTTTAGTGACTTGAGGGTTGTTATTTTAATTTAGCTGCAAGCCCAGGAGGTGTTCCCCGCCCCACCTCCCAGCCTCCTAAATCGAGAGGCAACAGGGACCCCCCCCCCAAACCCCCTCCCGGAAAGGGAGACAAGTCTGGCGGGTGGGCGGGGCCGCGCGGTTCTGGGGTGGGGCCTTAGGTAGAGGGCGGGGCCTGTATCGGGGCGGGGTCTCGGAGCCCTGTGGGGCGGGGCCTGAAATGGGAGGGGCTTTGTGAAAGGGTGTGGTCTGCGGGGTAGGGCCTGATAAGGGGCGGGGCTTTGTGAAGGGGGTGTGGTCTGCGGGGGCAGGGCCTGGTGGGGCGTGGCCTGATGTGGGCGGGACTTTGGGGCGGGGCCTGCGGGTGGGGCGGGGCGGGGCCTTACCAGCTTGAAGCCGATCTTCCAGTCCTTCCTGTTCACCTGGGGGTTGTTGTCGCGCACGCTGGAGGCGGCCCTACGGGCTCTGTGAGCCTCGTGGGGCGCAGCCGGCACCCGGACGAGCTGCAGGGAGTGCAGCAGCGTGTCCCCGAGGTCGCGCCGGTGGCGGGGATGCGCCGCCGCCAGGGTCTTGGAGGAGTTGTACTTGAACAGGTCGAAGAGCGTCTGCTCGGTCATGCGGTCCAGCTCCTCCAGCTCCCGCTTAATCTCCGTGTACCTGGGAGGGGCGGGCAGGAGAGCTTGGTTGTGGCCTCCCGCCAATTCCTGGCCGCTCCGGGTCTCCGCTCTCCCTTCTGCCCCGAGGAACCCGCTCTGGGGCCTCCCGTGGGGTGGGGTGGGGGGCAGATGGGGGATGAGGAGGAGACGGGAGCGTTTTATTTGCACGGGGTTATGACCGGGGAGAGGTGGGGGACTCAGAATTTGCCTGTCTTCTCCCCCCACTCCCCCGCACGAGATAGGGGGTGAGGAGGGTGGGCTAGGCCAGTGCCCAGTCACCCCGCATTGATCCCTGCAAGCGAGGGGCGACCCAACACCTCCTGAATTTGAGGTTTTCAACTGCCCTTTTTTTTTTTTTTTTGGCTTTTTGGGTCACACCCGGCTTTGCACAGGGCTTACTCCTGGCTCATGCACTCAGGAATTACTCCTTGGCGGTGCTCAGGGGACCATATGGGATGCTGGGAATGGAACCAGGGTCAGCCGCATGCAAGGCAAACGCCCTACCCGCTGTGCTATCACTCCAGCCCCTCAACTTCCCTTCTTGACGCTGCAGAGGAACTTTTTAAAATTCCAATGCTGAGACTGGGGTAGTAGCGGAGAGGGTAGGGTACTTGCTTCACTCGCAGTGAAATTCAGGTTCGACCCCAGCCACCACATACGATCCCCCCAAGCCCTCCAGTAATGAGCCCCAAATGTAGAGCCAAAATAAGCCCTGAGCATCATCGCTGGGTTTGCTCCCCCGCCCGTCAGGTACACAAAATAATACTGATGCGAATCACCCCTCCTCCTCCAGTTTTGATAAGTTTCAGGGTGGCACCCAAGCTCCACAAATTAAACAATGCCCAGTACAGTCCTTCTCAATACCGGCCCTATTGCCATGTCCATCACGGGCAGAGTGGGATGGGCATAAGAGATAAAAATCTACCAAAGTAAAAACAAACACACCCAGAACTAACAAATCATTAAACAGAGTTCTATTATATCAAACAGAGCATTGTATTTCTAGATATTAGCCACCAACTATTGGAAAGTGAGGTCAGTGAATAACACCTTACGGTATTGAAATAGCAAAAAACATAAAATACTAGGGGGAGGGGGCGGAAAGTAACAAAACTGAGCAGGAACTTTGCCCTCAAAAGCCCAAGTCAAAGGAGAGTCATATATGTTTATGTATAGACATAACATATAGAGACTAGGGGGCTAGAGCAATATATTACACAGCGGGGAGGGCGTTTGCCTTACACACGACCCCAACTCGGGTTCGATTCCCAGCATCCTATATGGTCCCCTAAGCACCACCAGAAGTAATTCCTGAGTGCATGAGCCAAGATTAACCCCTGTGTAATGCCGGTTGTGACCCAAAACAAACAAACAAACAAACATATAGGGGCTCAATATTGTTAATATATCTCCCAAATGGATCTTTTTTGGTTTGTTTTGTTTGTTTTGTAATGCTGGAAGTCAAGTGCTCAGTGACTGAGCCACATGCCCAGCAACAGATTAATCTTCAGATTCAATACAACTTATCAAAATATCCAAAAATAGGGGCTGGAGCAATAGCACAGCGGGTAGGGCGTCTGCCTTGCACACGGCCGACCTGGGTTCGATTCCCAGCATCTCATATGGTCCCCCAAGCACCGCCAGGAGTAATTCCTGAGTGCATGAGCCAGGAGTAACCCCTGAGCATTGCTGGGTGTGATCCAAAAAGCAAAAAAAAAAAAAAAAAAAAAATCCAAAAATTATATATCAGCTAAAATCCATACGGAAAAAAAAAAATTTAAGTAGAATAGCCAAGGATCAAAGCAACATATTGTGTGGCAGGTAGGATGCTTGCCAGGAGTAAGTATTGAGTACAGACCAGTAAGGCTCACAACCAAAACCAAAAACCAGAATAGGGGGCTGGAGTGATAATACAATGGGTCGGGTGTGTGCCTTGCATGTGGCTGGCCCAGGTTCGATTCCTGGCATCCCATATGGTCCCCTGAGCACAACCAGGAGTGATTCTTGAGTGCAGAGCCAGGAGTAACTCCAGATGTGGCTCCCAAACAAACAAAAATCAACAGGAGAGAGTGCATATATAAACTCATATAATATGTTATCGTTGTCGGCCTCTCCTTTCTCATCCTGCTCGAGCAAATCGACGACTAACGGGAAGTTAAGTGATTAAGTGATAATATGTTATCAATTGTTTTTTGTTTGGGCTGGAGCGATAGCACAGCGGGTAGGGCGTTTGCCTTACAAGCGGCCAACATGGCCGACCCGAGTTCGATTCCTCCGCCCCTCTCGGAGAGCCCGGCAAGCTACCGAGAGTATTCGATATGCCAGACACAGTAACACCAAAGTCTCCAATGGAGACGTTACTGGGCCCGCTCGAGCAAATCGATGATCAACGGGAGGGCCTTTACCTTTTTTTTTGTTTGTTTGTTTTACCAAAGCACCAATTTAATCCAATGAGGAAAATAATTCCTTACAAACAGATGGTGCTGGAACAACTGGAAACAATATGGAGAAAGGAGAAGAATCTCAAATACTACCTTGGTATACACACACACACACACACACACACACACACACACACAAATTTAGTACAGTGGGTAGGTGCACTTGCTCTGCACACAGCCAACCCAAGTTCGATCCCCATATGGTCCCCGGGCACCATCAGGAGTAATTCCCAAGTATAGAGATAGGAGTAAGCATCACTGGGAGTGCCCCCCAAAAAATTTTAGTTAAGATGGCTCATGGACCCAAACATAAAATTCAGAGCTACAAAAACTCTATAAAAATAAAAACGAAAACAGAAGATAGCCTCATGACTCTGAAACAATCCAAATTTCATAGAATACAAAATGTCTATGGATGAATATGCCCTGAGGTGCAAAGACCTCTTAGGATTCAATAATACAATGACAAATCGCTTTAAAAATGAATCAAACAGGGGCTGGAGCAATAGCACAGCGGGTAGGGCGTTTGCCTTGTACGTGGTTGACCCGGGTTCGATTCCCAGCATCCCATATGGTTCCCCAACCACCGCCAGGAGTAATTCCTGAGCGCAGAGCCAGGAGTGACCCCTGAGCATCACTGGATGTGACCCAAAAAGCAAAAAAAAAAAAAAAAAAGATGAACCAAACAGAGGCTGGAGCCATAGCACAGCGGGTAGGGCATTTGCCTTGCATGCAGCCAACCCAGGTTTGATTCCCAGCATCACATATGGTCCCCGGAGCATTGCCAGGAGTAATTCCTGAGTACAAAGCCAGAAGTAACCCCTGTGCAATGCCGAGTGTGACCCAAAAAGCCAAACAAAAAAAAATGAAACAAACACCTAAGCCCAATAAAATTAGTCTTTAGGGAAATGCAAGTTAATGCCATAATGAGGTTTTCATTTTAGGCTAATGCTAAAAGTTAACCCACTAATATGAGTGAAAATGTGCGGTAACTAGAATTTCTACTAGTGGGTGTCTAAAATGGCATGACCAATTTGGGAGACTTGTTCGTGGTTCCTTGGTTTCTCTTTTTGTTTTTTTCCCTGGCTTTTGGGGACATACCTGGTGATGCTCAGGGATTAATCCTGCCCTACATTCAGGAATTACCCCTGGTGGTTCTCAGGGGAGCATATGGGATGCTGGGGATCAAACTCAGGTTGGCTACATGCAAAACAAACGTCCATCCACTGTACTGTCCCTCTGGCCCCAGCTGATGATTTCTTAAATATACCCCCTGAGGGCTGGAAAGACAATAAGGTGGGTAGGGCATTTGTCTTGTACCCGGGTTCAATTCCTGGCACCCCGTAGGGGCCTCCCGAGCCTCTTCTGGAGTGATCCCTGAGGAGGAAGCCCTAGCACTGCCAGGTGTGGCCCTAAAATTAAAATAAATAAATATACTTTATCACCGAGCAATTTTACTTTTGAATTTTTTACCCAGTTCTACTCCTAATCATTTATCCAAGAAAAATGGAAACATAAGGACAAATATTTACAGCAGTTTCATTCACAAAAGTCAAAAAATAGAAAGCAACCCAAATACATGTTCATGGGAATAACTTAGCAACGAAAGGGGACTGTGGTAAGCATTACATGTAAAATGAGACAGACACACATGCAAGATTCAGTTTAGGTGAAGTCTAAGAACAGATAAAACTGAATGATGGGGGTGGGGCGGGGGGGAAATGCTACCTTACATGAGTCTGAGACCTGGGTTTGATCCCTGGCATCCCATATAGCATTGTCAGGAGTGATTCCTGGGTGCAGAGCCAGGAGTAAGCCCCAAACATCACCGGGTGTAACCCCAAACAAAATAAAGTAAGCCTTAAAAAGGCCTAGAGGATGGTGCTCTATGACAGAAAGTGAGAGTGGGAATGGGAGAGACTGACTGCAAAGAAACATGGGAGAAAGGAAATGGTTACTATCTAGATTATCTAACTTCAGGGAGCATCGAAGTTCACTGCGGTTTATTGCATGTCACTGACACCGCCATTCAAGAAAAAGTCCCCAAAATGTGTGTGTCTGTGGGGCCACAGAGGCAGTACTGGAGTTAAGGTGCTTGCCTTGCAACCCACCCACCCAATTAACCAATTTGTTTTTGGGTTGGGTTTTGGGGTTCATTTGTTTGCTTTGGTTTGGGTTTGGTTTGGGTTTGGGGCCACACCCAGCGATGCTCCGGGGTTACTTCCGGACTCTGCACCCAGGAATCACTCCTGGAGGTGCTCAGAGTACCATAGGGGATGCCGGGGCTTGAACCTGAGTTGGCTGCGTGCGAGGCAATAAATGTACCTTCTGTACTATCTATCCAGACCCCCCAACCCACCCACCCAATTTGAACCCCAGCATCGCATATGGGCCCTTGAGTACCACCAGGGGTCACTCCTGAGCACCACCAGGGACTAGTTTGTTTTGCTTTGTTTTGTTTTGTTTTGTTTTGTTTTGTTTTGTTTGGAGGGAGGTGGTTGGTGATTAAAAGAATAGCTAGAGGGACTGGAGCGATAGCACAGCGGGTAGGGCATTTGCT